CATGGTTGGTGGTATTTCATGGCATTTTATTGTCAAACCTGACCATCAAATAACATGGTTATACCATGGTATTTCATTGCCAAAAGAACTCTAGAAGAGTGTCGAAGTCTAAAATTGGTCAGAGTTGAAATGGATCATGAAATACAATGGAGTACCACGTTTCACCATGAAATGCAATGAAATAGAATGATTGATCATGATATGCAATGAAATGCAATGGTCTTTCTTGCAATGCAGTGAAATACAATTAAAGACCATGTTCAAAAAGTATTTTTTACATGAAATATCTTTATTAATAAATGTTAATTAGATAACCAAATTATTATAATTAGTGATTCTGATATTCATCAAAATCACAACTTTATATACTTTTGTTCCTTTATTTAATAAATTAATTTCTATTATGAATAATTAAGTTAATAACCCTAGAAACAAAATTTTTTTGTTAAACAAATTTGCTTTACTTTTTTTGACTGTTGTCGGTAAAATAGGAGATCAACTAAATATCTTGTAAGTCCAACCTCCAGCCTTCGACTAAACATCTTGACTGTACTTCATTGCATTTGATGGTTTGGAACCATAAAATACTGCAAAATAGCAGTATTTTTAAATGCAAAATTTTAAGTAAAGTGACCATGGTATACCATGGTAGATCATGATAATTGGGTGGCTCCATTGCATATCATGGTTGATGTCTAGACCATGATATCACTGCATTTGATGGTATTTGACCATGAAATACTGTGAAACAGTGGTATTTTTTAGATACAAAATTACATGTTAATTGACCATGGTATACCATGGTATATCATGATCGTTAAATGGCACCATTGCATTTCATGGTCAGGAGCGCTTTTTTAACATGGAGTTTCCCATTGAAAAAATACTGCCGTTTCGCAGTATTTCATGGTCAGAAACCATCAAATGTAATGATATGATGGTCAAGAAACCATCAAATGCAATGATGTCATGGTCGAGAACTTGACCATGATATCATTGCATTTGATGGTTTCTGACCATGAAATACTGCGAAACGGCAGTATTTTTTCAATGGAAAACTCCATGTTAAAAACGCGCTGTTAACCATGAAATACAATGGTGCCTTTTAACGATCATGATCCGCCATGGTATTACCATGGTATTTCATTGCATTTCATGGCCATATACCATGGTATACCATGGACATACCATGGTATACCATGGTATAGCCATGGTCCATTTCAACATGGGCATGCAGGGTATGTTTGCTAAGTTCAGTCCCCTAGAACAGATCCTACTTTAGATAAACCAACTCTTCTGTCAGTTATGTTTTTCATAATCAGCACCTGTATTATAATTAAAACAGCAAAACAGAGAAAGAATCTGACACATATTATAATCTGGCCTTGACTAACCATGCCAAAATCTAAATTTTGAAAATGTCAGACATAACATATGTCAGACTCTATAATCAGAGGGGCATTGATGGAATATATGTGTTGCCCAATTGAAACCATACATTATGGTAAAAGAGACGATGCAAACAAGAATGAAGGCCATATGTCTTAAATAAGACAAATAACAAAACAGCAATTCAATTAACCTGAAGCCCAGAGGCGGCCTGCAGTAAGCAAATAAGATAAACCTTTTGAAAAGGGCATATTACTAGCAACATTGCAATACAAAAAATATTGCCATCATTCAATGGCATACTGCGCTCCATTACCTCATGTAACATAATAATTATGTCAATACATTTTGGCCTACATAGATAGTGTTCCAAAAAGGAGAATGATAATGAAATTCAAAACGGTAAAACATGAAATTAAAATAGGATATGAGTTCGTACCTTTCAAGGGGCCCTACTTTACCCAAGTAGGCACTCAGTGACAAGATAATTAAATCTGGTAATATTTCAAGACTACTTATTTTCCCTGTCATATGAATAAACTTAATTAGAATTGTATAGCGAACAGCTGGAGATGGTTAAGCTAAAGTACAATCCCATCAGTAAATCAGCAGATCTCAGTATGGTTTAGAATTAAAATCAATTGATTTGTTGTAGAAATAGAATCTAATAGAATCTAATGATTATTTAAATGATGCTTTGACAGTGAATTTTTTATCCAGGTAAAGATTGGCTCAATCAGCTCATGATAAAATAATGGCTTTGCTATAGCTTTGAAATCTCGTTGAAGTCTCATTTTTAATGACGATTTAGGAAATTTTCATATTTCTAATCTTTCTAATCATATAGCAATTCCTCTATTAGGGCGACTGTATACTGCCCCACTTCTGCTATATTATCAACCAGCCCAGTTATGCCATGAGATCAGACAGCTCCTTGTAGCAAAGGGGTCTCAAAATTTATAACTTACCTTGTATTCGCGAATGCAACTAACGCCTGTTGGCTACCGGTTTACCCTATTATTTTATGGCCAACTCATTTAAATATGAATGGAAAAGTTGCAAGTAGTATTCATATTTAAATGAGTTGCCCATAAAATAGTAAGATAATCCAGTAGCCGCTATTTGTATTCGCGAGTACAAGTTCTACAAGTAATCTAATTCATTAACTGCTAGATGACCTAATACAAACATTTTCATTGAAAAGTATGATAGCAACACTTACTAAAAGGAAACGAACTGCCTGTTTTGTCTTCTTACCTCAAGGGGGTAAGTTTAGGGCAAATTATATATAATATGAAGGTACCAGTATCTCATCCCACATAAAATTATAGTTATAAAAAATGTTATTTGTCCATAATCTTGCTAGAAAATCAAAAATCAATGAGAAATACATGTATTACTGCAACAATAATGCCACACTTGGTAGCACTATTATATTTATATTGATTTTTTCATACATCCTAGCAACTATTCTCATCCAACAGTTGAAATTGTATTCTCTTGGGACTATATTCATTAGATTTTTCTATAATTTTAAAAGCTGTTAAAGAAACCACAGTATAACTACATGACCAAAAGATTATGTGAAAAGGATATATTGAGTATAAAAAAAGATAAAATTTAGTATAGAATGTGGATAAAGCCCTCTCTTTCAAATTGAAAGTAAAAACGTTTGCAAAGGGTAAAAATAAACAAATGTGATTGAAACAAGCTTTTGTACTTCTACAAAACAGTATTGATATTTCTCAAATAGCTTGAGGAATTATATAAACCTCCACTAAAGAAAAGATGTAACAGAAATCAAATGAAGTTTTTTCTTAATCTGTCTGTATAAAAACTATTTAAAAGGAAAATGGCTTTACTAGAAATGTGTTTATAATGAGAGACAATGTTTATAATGAGAGACAATAGTAATTCTCTAAGATATTAGGTTTTTATTTAGGGCTGTGTTTACTTGATAGAGTTGTGAGATGGGGGGGGGGGGGGGGGTAGAGAGAGAGGTGTACAAGAGGGGGAGGGGGGGGGGTTAGAGAGAGAGAGGGGTGTATATAAGACAGGGGGTATATACTAGAAAGAGAGAGGTCTTTACTCTAAATTCCTTAAATAGTAACTGTTGTTCCAGAAGTCTATTTTCTAGAGATATACATGAAAGAGACAACTGTACACTATATGCAGGATTTTACACTGGTAAGGTATAAAAAACAATGCACTATTACCCCTTTCAAAAATGATAAAAGGGAACTTATCAAACAAGATTGGGTAATAATACTAGTGATTCATGTAATTGAGAAATCTAATAAACAATGATATTATGAAGATCTTTCTGCAAATCTTAGGTGAAAATGAATCGAGGTTAGTAGTGCCAATGATACATCAACAACCATTTACTGAAAGGGACTTTAATGCCTCAATAGAAGTGTGCTAATACATTCAACCTTTAAACAACCTAGTGATTTATCATCTGAGAAGCACATCACATTTTAGACAAGATGAAGCCAACTGATGAAAAGATTGATCAATATCGGAATTATGGTCTTGATGTAACAGAACATTGTATATAATACTCATTACCAAAATCTTAAATTCTCAATCTGTGTAACAAAGTTCAGGCCCGTAGCCAGGGGGGGTTCGCAGGGTTCGGGCGAACCCCCCCCTGGCCAAAAATTCTTTCAAAATCATGCAGTTTTTCACCATTTTGAGCACTTCTCAAGTGATTTTAGCCATATTTGGGCCAAAATTGTCAAATGTGAACCCCCCCCTGGAAATTTTTGAAAACTGAACCCCCCCCTTGGGAAATCCTGGCTACGGGCCTGAAGTTATTATATTTATTTCAAAGTTGGTCTTTTTGCTCTTATTTTTGCTGTAAAATTGAAAACATTGAACCATAGTTAACTGCAGTTATTTACTGAAAAACAATATAGCCTCAATGATAAATGTTGCCACACATCACTCCTGTTTTAATTTGGTTGGTAATTTGAGACAATTAAATGCCCAGGCCCATAGTCAGCTTTTAGAAGGTAGTTCACTTTTTACTAATTTCAGATGGGTTCATATTGACCAGTTGAAAAGTTTCAGAATGGTAAAAAACTGCATGATTTTGATATTTTACATCTAACCTCCTGGCTATGGGCCAGCGATATCATTATATTGAAATCAGTAAGATTAAAACAAATCATTTTTTTCATATTACATGTAGTCTGCTCTAAGCAAATATTAGGCCACAAACAAGAGTGAGTTCAAGTCTCCCAGCTGTTCATAATGGAGCAATGTAACACATGAGCCTTGAAACTATATATGAATTAGAGATCTCGCTTTAAATGCAAGACTATAAATATCATTTGCTCCAAAGTAGGACACGTGCATAATATAAAACATGTATTTGAAACATGATGAAAAAATTCTGAATGCAAATACCTTCTTTGGTAGATTAATAATATAATCCAATATAAAGTTACATCTTAATTAAATCTCCTAACTATTAGAACTCAAGGTTAGACCTTAGATCAACATATATTTATTTGAGACATAGTTTAATATTAAGAAAAATGTTTTAAAAAGTTTAGACCTTTCACATACTATTATAGATGAACAAGTATTCATTTGAGACTTACCTATAAAGATGCCCCGCAAGAGAAGTTATGCCAGGAGTAAATTACACTACAGTCAATGTCAATGTTTTATTTATTTAACCTCTGAAATATCTGACTTTCCCTACAATATTTACTTCATAAATCCATCACTCTGAAGACTTCTAATACTGCAAACTTTTTGCCAGTATTCATTCAACGCAGATAAGCACTGATAAACATGTTTGCATATATTCAAAACTGATATCTAATTAAAAGTCTCGTAAGAACTTCTTGATGACTTAATCTGTATAAATAATATTATAACTGAGGTGTAATACAGATCTTAAAAATATCCTAGTAGGTTCCATCTTGTAATGAGATCGCCACTCCACTCCAACGAAAATGAAAGATTTACTGTTATATGTAATCGTCTTCAAGACAGAATTAGTATTTTCTGCTGTATTAATCAAAGAAACGCTGCCTCTTCATTCAATAGCACAAGAAGACTCTCACTACATCCCGCATATAACCAGCGATCAATAAATATGTTATACACAAATAAACACTGATGACATCTAGTGGTCTTTTCAAAGTTTAATATTACTCAATCTGCTCTAAGTACAATTATGACGTTGCTGGCACACACGTTGTCATCGAAGCTGTGCCAATTTTGTCAAAACAGTTACACAGTCAAATAAAGCTTATACTATTTAGTTTATTTTCAAACAATGGTACTATAAAATATTTATTTCAAAGTTTATTTATGGGAACTGAAAAACTGTTATATTATAAAGACTATAGTGAATGATTGTGACCTGCCCTACATGTACATCAAGATTAATTGATCACTACTCTGTTATCTACTTCAATTCATAAGTGTCATTCTTTTCATATTTTAATTCCAATAAATATCATATAACTTAAAATGAAGTCATAGATCCCTCATCATAGCCAAGCCTGCAAATTCAATAAATTCAATATCATTGGATGATTGAATTTTTCTATTAGCCTTTGGTTTTCAGAGTAATACTGCCCTTATTTTGCACTATAAATCAATAGTTCACCTAAATTCACCATCAAGTGGGTTGTTCATTAACATAAAATTATAATCTTGACAATGAAACAGGCTGCACAAATATCTGAGGTCAGGTGGTGTCTCCCCTCTCTAAAAATAAACCCCATGCATTTTTGGCAAATGTGTGTATATTTATAAAGCAATTGTTTGATTTGGTTTCCTAAAGGTAATGTTAGCTAAAGGGCATTACTAATGCCCCTACAATCTCCTGAAGGATACCTCTAACTAAGGGAGATCTATAATAATTCTTCTTCTTTAGAGGTATATCATGTCTACACCTCCCTGGACCAAAATCTAGGGTACTACCAAATCAGTTAAAGCATGTGTCTAAGTTCACATATTAGAAAAATGTTATACCTGCCTATGTAATTTTTGGTTCAAAAGGAAATATGAACACATTGGAAAGTTTATTTTCAGAAAGTGTTGTCTACTTTTAGTAAATCTAGTAAGAGGTCAATGCCAACTCAAAGAAATCGTGATATTTCAAGAAAATATATTCAAAACAAATGTTATACACTCATGTCGTCATGCTTCATTTTGAACCTGAAAAACTGTTTCAAGTTTCAAATATTTAAGATCTAACCATACTTTTTATTTATTTTATAGTAGTATTCTGGTAGCCATATTCTGGTTTCATTAACATGTTAAAATGATGTTAAAACGAAAAAATGCCAAACAGTGTACTAGACTACAGTGAATGATGAGGGATTCACTAAACTTTATCTAGTATAGGAGATTAACTTTGTACACCTGATTGCAATTTGATATCAAGACAAAGTGATTTGCAAGATGCATAGGGGATTACACGAAAGAAAAATTATTCGAAATTGAAAAAATATGTGTTTTAGTAATTTATGTAAGTTAAAGCAACCACAAAGTACTGAATGACCATCTAATTAAAGACAAAAATACTGTAGAGTCAATTACTAATATGATAGCCATTTTGAAACCAATGGCAATTTCCGCCACGATGACGTCACATTTTGCTGAGGTGAATGTAGTAAAATATAAGCCTTCTTAACTGTACTAATACCCTTAGAAAAGGCCAGACAAGGTGGTAATAATGTATATTAGACTGATCACTAAACCAATTAATTTATTATACATAAATATTTATTCTATGAATGAGAGAATAAACCTCCTAATAAACCTGCAATCTTGAAAAATCTGTAGCAGTTTCATTTGATTTAGACGAATGACTATTACTCAAGATAATCAAGATCATGTTGATTTAAAGGACAACTGAAATAGCTTTTCTCAACTTGCGATAGCCATTATAAAATAAATGTTAGAGAACTACTAACGGTCATAAATAACGAAATAAAACTAACTGATCAATCAAATTGGCCCCCACGTGATTTGTAAAGTCATATACAAAATATAGCTTTTGTTTATTGGTTCCTTAGTAATCACAACATCACGGCAACCATAGGATAACAAATAACAAAACATTTTGGCATTATGACGTCATGATCTAATGGACCAAAACGGGCTACTCGCGGACCAGTGAGAGATCACGTGGGGGCCAATAACGTCACAACCAATTTGAATATTGCTTATTAAGCAGCTATAACGATCGTTAGAGTGAAATGATTTTCACACTACTGATGAGAAAACGTGTTCAAATACATTTATCAAAAAGTTATATTGATTCCTTTAGGTTAAAAATACCATTTCATATCTGCTTTAAGAGTAAATTCTACTGCCAATTTATGTTTTCATCTTAGCCTCATTTCACATAAACAACCTTCACAATCAATTTTGTTGCCAAAATGTGACCTAAGTCATCTTATTTATTCAGACAAAAACAAGTCCTAGGATTATATGTACTGTTTAGTTGTCCAGTGCCAGGACATAGTCCTGAGAAGGTGTCAATCTTATGCCTGTAAAAAGCAGACATAAGTTTTTGTTGATTTTTCAAACAAAATCATAGCATACAACTACTGTGAACAAATTGACATGGGTTTTTACAATACAGGACACCTGAAATTATTTTTTAAAGCTACTAAATAGATTAATAATTATGACAACTCAAAAACGCCTTGTTAATATGATAGAAAGTATTACGCTCGCTGACTTTTCTTAAGACATTCAAAATGGCTGCCATAATTGAGCCAACATGTCCAAAACCTAATCAGATAAAGAATGAAGTGAGTTAAAGAAGATCTTAAAGTTTCTACCGCATCTGTATGAACTCATTAGTTATCCCTGAAAATTTGAAGGAGATATCTGTAGGGGTTTTGGAGAAAAATGACATAAAAAGGAATCCTAAAATATTCAGGAATTTATTGAGGTTTGTAATTTAGGTGTACAGAATGGGGATAAGATGGTTTAATGGTAATCGTGCAGCAACAGGGAATGCAATCGTCCCACGACTGTAAGTTGTAGACAGTGATAACTCAGTTTAGCTTTAATCTATCTTAGTTTCAAACAATACAGTACATGTACATGTGTATAATGTTTTTGTTTAGTTATGATCATATTGCAACAGAATAGCATCAACACAGGAGTAGGTGAACAAGCAATGACAAGAATGACACTTGAAGAAAGGCAGTAACACTACAAATTGTCTCTACCTGATTGCAAAGGTGCACACCAGCAACTAACACCAAATGCTAGTCATAAACATGCTAGCTATAACAATAAAAATAGAATAAAAATAAAATTGATGTTTTAGAAATTGCAAAATATTTTCAATTTAACAACAGCATTTTATATTTCATCTGTATGAATAATATTTTGATTTAAAAAAACTGCCAGTAGAAGTTGTTTATGTCATTTTGTGCAAAAAGGGAAGAAGTAAATGTCAACATGAACCTGGATTCAATTTGCCATTTAATTAATCAAAATAAATCTTAATACCATCAAAGCTGTGAAGTTGATTTATAAGAATAGAGATTTATGCCATTTTAATTAAGATGGCCATTCATTTTCTGGATATTGTTATACAATGTTAAGTTTCATATATCAATTAGCCCATATTATATTATTCTGACCATAAAATTAATCTATATTATCCTACACTTAGTGTACTATATGTATAATAACATCAACAAATAAATTTGATATCTAAAAAAATAAATAACTGGAGGATATTGCTACGATATGCTCCGGAAAACCAATATGCGGAGGATATTGTGACAATATACTCCGGGAAACCAATATGCGGAGGATATCGTGACGATATACTCCACTTGTTGATTTCCCGCCAAATTAAACTATTTGACATGAAATTTATTTTTCAATGATATTAAACATTTAGTACACTACTAGTGAATGTAGGATAATAAGAACATCCTATGACTTTTTCAGAATATCATTTTAATCTACTCAGTGATATGGATTATGCACTCGTTCGCTTCGCTCTCTCGTGCAGATATCAATATCACCTCCTGGATAAAAATGATATTCCTCAAAATCATAGGATATCCTATAATTATCACCTTGTGAAGCCTGTTCTCAGCCCGGTTCTCAGGATACATCATACTAGTTTAGAGGGCTTATATATTAACTTGAACAATAGGTGGAGCCATAGTGGCTGGCCCTTAGTAGTTACCATCTGCCCTGATCCAGGGAGAATAATGTTTCTGTACTTCAGTTTTCAATAGGTGGTGATAATAATCTTATTTCAGCAGGTGGTTATTTGATTATTCAATTCGTATGTATTTGATATGATATGGTATTTGCAATTATTTTAACCTGGAAGATCATAGCGAAAAATAGCATTGTATGGCAATCATTATATTTAACACTAGACCAAAAAAGATGAAGTTGAAAACTGAAAATAAATTCTCCGGTCGTGATTTGAACTGATTTTGAATAAAATAGACAGGTTATGAAAAATGTCCTTACCTTGATACCCTTAAAGTCATATTGGTGTATTCTCCAGTTGTTCTTATTTTGTAATTTGTAGCGATAAAAAGGGAATGAAGTTGCTAAAAGTAATTTTTATAGTTTAGTTTAGTTCATTCATTTATTTATAGTGGTCAGTCTTACAATTCAATTATAAAATATAAAAATTAATTACAATTTTACCCAGCCCACCTTGGGCTTATTAACCACTGTTCACAATAAGAAATACAAAATTAAAACACAAAAATCAATATCACAGGTCCTAAATGAATTGCCTTCTCCGCACAAAAGCCATCTTAAAATTTAAAAATTTTACAGATTGTTCCCTAAAAAGAAATTCAATTTTGCTACCTTCATTATCCAAATCTTTAAAATTTACCTCATCAAAGTGTGTTGTTTATTATGGTTTATAACATAAATTCTCGCCTATTAGATTTACATAAAGTTTACGCAACAATACAAAAATTACCTTATAACATTATTTTATCGCCCAGTCAGGGGATCGTTCAAGCTATAATTTCTATAGTATTATGTTTTACTTAATAAACCATTTTAGCCCAA